CCCCAAAACCCCAAAACCCCAAAACCCCAAAACCCCAAACCTCTGAAAACCCGTTGAACTCATAAACCTGAAATTAATAAGAAGGAAATGGAGCAAATGAGTGGTGTAGCACAGTAGCGTTGGGAAGGAATTTGAATGGGATTTTGGGGAGGAGTAAAGGGGTGGTGGGAGGGTGAGAGGGCTTTGGGGTTGGGATAGAATTTGAAGTGATTGGAGAGTTGTGCTTGATCTGTGGTTAAATGAGAAAAGGTTTATTAGCATTTTATTTTGATGATATATTTTTATTAGTATCATATTGAAATTATATGAAAAAGTAAACCTGTTTTACAAATTATGGGATTTTATACCAAAGTTCCTAAATCAATGACTCGAGCAGTAACTTGCTCACTTATGAAATATTCCTAATAATGTCATATTTCTAAACAACCTTAATCAAAGCTTGCAAATCGGTCTGGGAAATTTAAGGAGTTTCTAAATTTAATAAAATATGAAAACTTCATAATTTTAAACAATCTGAAATAAAATAGACTTTAAATGTCATCTAGCAAAAGGTGGCATAAATATCTCTTCTATAAATTAGCCACACAATTATAAAGAATTGGTTTAATTTCAGTTTTCATACAAAAAGAAGAGGGTGCTAAATTTTTGATTCCTTTATTTTAAAGTTCCTCATTCCTTTATGTTCGTACATTTAGTAACTAAAAAACTTTCTTAATCTATCAATGTTAAGAATTTTACAACAAATTCTGCTTTACTAGAAGTCATGAGATGAGGTATTGATAGCAAGGAAGTTTTTACACCCACTTAATCAGATTTTGTAAATATTTTATAAAAAATTATTAGGAAGTAGCTAGTAGGAGTTCTTAATGCCAGCCATTGTAGTATCTTTGTATTTAAGACTCTGGTTCCTTATGAGGAAATATTTTTGGTCCTTTTCAAACTCTGGTTTTTACAAAGGTTAGATCTAATTTTGCATCGAAGTGTAGGGGCTTTGATGGCGGATTATTCAGATCGTCTAATCAAAGACTTCTTATCTTTATTGCTTTCTGAAGAAGACTTCTAATATCTTTTTGAACTTCAGATTTTCATAAAGGATCTTCTGAATAAAATTTCTGTCCTGAAATCCTTTTATATGTCACAACCTTGTTGTCTTCACAACTTTGAGGATGTAACTTCGATGGTTTGGGTATTAATCAGGGAACTCTTTTAGCTGATTTAAATGGTATCTTTGACATATTAATTTCTAAGCGAGAGGTCCTCTTTACATTTGAAACCATGACATCTTCTCCAAGAAGTTCTTCAGATAAATTTTCATCAGATAAGGTTTCTTTGAATAGCTTTGAATCACTCATAATTTTCAAATAATTATATAACTCAATAAACTGTATTTTATATGGGGTTTTGGGGTTTTGGGGTTTTGGGG